GCACTACCACTGATTCAACATCCAAGCCGCCTTCGCGGAAGCATGCCACAGGCTGTTTGGATCAGTCCGTGTGTGGCACGCGTAGACGGGCTATTCAGCTTTCGTTCGCCGGTGCACCCGAGCCAATCTCCGAGTATCCTGACATTGTACTGTCACCAGAGTCAGATAGGTGAGAGAAGAGAGAGTGCAATAGATGCAGTGAAAGTCCACCATAACCGTCCCTGTGCCCACCTCGCTTCCGGAGAGGACGGTCGTATTGTGGGCGTACCGCCTGGCTGCAGTCAGAGGACCAGAAGAACCCTATAAAGTCACCCCCTGCCTCCTCAAGAAGGCTATGCGATTAAGTGTCGACTGATTTACAGTGGAAGTTTCCGTGGTATCTTTCCATTAAGGAGCCTTTATGGTTGGGGGAAATGAGTTTCGACAGGATCAGCACAAAGACTCAGAAAAAACGGGTCTTGCCAGTTAGCCTCTAGCTAAGTCAGAGATAGTAATTTGAAGGACGTCAATCCACACGCTTCTTAGGTTATTCCCGACTGTGTAGTCTGTGCCATGCACAGCCATCAGGATGGAATTCTCTCAGAGAATCGTTCACTCTCCCCCCCTTCTCCCCTCACGTGGCAGGTCAGACCGTGCAGGCCATACCAACGCGGTCACTTTGTTTCATCGTCCGATCTGTTTGCGATCGGAATACAGGCAGTCAAAAATTCTGATAAAGGGGTAGGTTAAAAGATGGCGGTTTGGGTGAGACCTTTTCTCCCCCCATTGCATGGACATCACACGTCCCACCTGAATAAGTAAAAGGCCTAGAAGACAGTGACAGTTGTGGCTTGTCAATGCGGGACGCCGGCTTTTCCAGCGATAGGACTGGACTCATAAATAAACCAAAAGCAACAAAAGGCGCCGGGACGGGCGTGGGGTAGCTGGAAGAACCTGAGGTTCGCTAAGTAGAGGGGGGAGAGGGGAACGCAGGTTGAAGTGATCGGACTGATTCACTGAGTCTTTTACAAGTGTGAGATCCTGCTCAAGGACTGGCGAGGTTTGGCAAATAATTGAAACAATCTAACGAATCAGTATTTATTTCTGAATAAAACGGGGATAGTTGAGAGGAGGCATCGAAAGGAGAACCAAGTGAACCGGTACGGTTACCGATCGAACCTGAGTACAGAAAAATGACATGAAACTACCGCCGGTGGTTGACGGAAATTGGTCGCAATCTGCCGTAGTATTCAGCGCAATTCACGGCAGCGTAATTCGAGGCTTCCGACATATTTCTTGCAGTAGATCAGCATATCAGCTTTCTGTGGTGTTACTCCTAGCACGTTACCTCACGTTTAAAGAGACGGTACTCCAGAAGCTGAGATTGGGCATATCTCCATAACAGATGTGTATTTTACGTATTTATAGAGTACAGTCATACTGCAAACTCCTGTGCATACGCTACCCTTATCTGCTACTGCTCTCTGATTATGTCTCTAATGGTGAATTCGCGACGGGTCACGAAACGTCAGGCGAATAAAAGTATTGTGCCAGCGATCGAGTCATCTTCTTCGCAATTACTTCCTGGGACTCGAATGTTCGCTTGTATTTACAGTACTGCTGTTATTGGTCTTAGTATTAGAGGTAAGTACAGTGATAGTGGCGGAAGTTGCAGTAGTAGTATCGATGAAAGTTCTGATTGTGGTGGTAATTGTGATGTTAATGGCGATGGTCTTTAGAGTGTTGATGAAGGTACAGATGATAAGAACAGTACAAATAGCAGTGATGTCAGCCGCTGTATAAATAGTAGTAGCAGTATTAGCCATGATAGTAGTACTGACAGTGATAGCAGCGGTAGTGGTGGTGATAGTGCACCCGAGCCTGTCCCCCGAAGTGCGGTAGATACAGCGCAAGTCACCGTCCTGTACCCACGACTTTGCGGGAAATGCGGTAGATATAGTTACATGTGAGCGTTAAACTGCCATGAGTGATAATGGTGCAAGAGTTGGTCGAGTAGTATCGATACTACTATTAATATTTAAAATATTAGTGACAGTTTTTGTGGTGTTTTGGTATTGGTCGTAAGGTAGATTTGTTCTCTCATTAAATTTTAACTAAGAGTCCGAAGTGTTTGATTGAGTAGATGTGATTACTTAAGTAGACCTTTCATATTTATTATAATGCAGCACAACCCCCCGGATATTTCTTTCAGGCCATGATGCCTGCTTTTGGCCGGAAGATTTCCGTCCGCCTTCAAAGCTGTAAAACGACTACTCAGAGGGTGAACCCTAAGACAGATCAGGGCGATTGTGTTCCGTTAACGATCGGTGAACCTTCATCAACGAGTGCCAATATTGTCGATCTAAATCGGCAAGACAACGACCCGTGACTCAATGGGTAGAGCGTTAGGCTTCTGATGAAAAGGTCTAGGGTTTGAGGCTTAGGTGGTGCATCACTTTGGGCTGGGTATGACTAGTTGGTGACGGCAAATGAGCCAGAAATGGCCATTCCAGTCCTCCTTGCCTTCGTCGGCATTCTTAATCTGATTACTTAAACAGTCGCTTTTTACAGTTTCGTTTCTTCAGGCTGTCAGACAGAAGCCCGTACAAAAGCAAACATCCTGATTCGAATGAAATAGTTGGAATTGGGCTGCACGATATAAAATATTACAATCATACTTAAGCATAATATTTCCTAATCGTAAACATTTGAGAATTTCGGTTAACATTTCATTATAAAGCGCCTCTACTATAATGGTAATAGTAGCATTAGCAGTGGTCGGAGTAGTCATAGTAGTAGTAATAGTAGTAGTATGAAAAAGAGGAGGAGAAGGGGAAGAAGAAAGGTCTATAACTACTAAACAGGCGATGGGCATGGGCAAGTCGGGGAAAGAAGAGGATGGACGAATAGCCGAGTGAGTTTGGGCAGAACTATGGAAAACAAGTTTCATTGATTGAAGGATTGCCTTTCATTGCAGTGGAAAAGGTTCTTTCTATACCAACTAGCTCCAGTCAAAAGAGATCTAGCCAATAAAATGATAGTTTTGATTAAATTTTCAGTCTGTTGCAGCTGGTAGTTTGCATATCTATTTAAAAACCCTCTGTTCCGATGCTTCATTCGCAATGAAGCTCAGAGCAATCCCTGCAAAAGACGGCATTTCGGTAACTCTCCCGTAAGCATCTAAGTTACGTATTCGGTCTGGAACAACCTGACTTACCAGCTGTATCATGGAATGAGGAGCGCGAAGTGAAAGAGAATGAAGGCCATTGACCCGAGGGAGGCCCCTGGAGCGGCCTACAGGAGCCTGGTATGCCCGTCTCGGCCGGGCCAACTGCAGGTTGCATATACATCCCCATCGGAAGCGGAGGCACCGGCTGGAGTTGCGATTCGTTGCCAGAGTTCTGTTAAAGAACACACTGATTAATTCACCGTTTTGACAGTCTGGAAAGATTTTTGGAATTCTTTAAACCTATGGAAATACAGGTTCCCGCAAAAATTGAACGATTGTGTCGCAGATATAACCGTAGCAGGCCGCCGGTTATAAAAAAGTGAAACACTTTCGGGCAAAATTGATCTGTAGGGCCCTCTAGTTATCTATCCCTCTCCGTCCAAATGCTTGACGTATTTTGTGGTCATACGTTTAATTCTTGGCTAGTGAGCGTAAATTAATAGGTAATTGTGGCGGAATTGATCAAAAAATATTAAATTAAATAATTGAAACATTGTTTTCCCGGAAGAAATTTGAACAAAGCGAAGATCACGAGTTGAGCAGAATTTATGACGTCATTAAATTCTGCTGAACTAGTGATCTTCGCTTTGTTTAAATTTAATAAGATTATGCTTGTTTATATATGTTAAAATAGAATAAAATTCGAAATTTAACGAAAACGGAAATTCGTCCTCCTTTTGGTGGAACTTAACGAAAAAATTTAAAGTCAGGCTACCAAACATTTAAAAGTATTTTTTATTATAAGTCAACGGGATTTTTGGGGCCTCTAAAATCAATCCTGCCCATTTTCGAATTGCAAATTTGATAATGATAATCAACTTCTTAGCGTGTGCTCGTATTCTGAAGTTTTCGGCGGACTTTTGCTCATCAATAGAGTATTTAACTCTGACCTGCGTGTCTGTGAATTGAAGCAAATGCCCGCAATGTATGTGTACACATAAATCGATATGAAAAGAACTATGTTATTTTATATATATATATTTAAATTTTATTTTTATTTATTTTGTATTTTATTATTTCATTCTGCTATTATTTCGGACCGTGGATTCACGACGGATTTCGAAACGTCAGGTGAATAAAATTCGGGTAATGCACCACCTGGGGTTGGGTATGACCGGCTGATGACGGATTATGAGCCAGAATTGGCTATTCCAATATCCCTTTCCTTTCCTTTATTCATCTGCGTAGATTTAGTAGCTGCATTACGGCCGCTGGTGGAACTCGAAACTGAGCCTCAAGGCTGAGGCGGACGAGTGAGTTCCGTTACCGATCGATGAGCGTTCACTGACGAATTTACAGAACCGTTGGACGTGGAATGAGCAAGTATGGATCTGATGAGTCCGAGTAACCAGTACATTTTTCCACACAAGGACAGAAATAAACATGCGCTTAATTTGAAAATAGAATTCTAAAATTTTCAGCAAAAGCGTCCTTCATTCACAGTGAATAAAATTAGGCAAACAAATCGCATAACACCGGGAGATCATAAACAATTAGTGTTGAGCGAACACTGCAATTGTCAACCTCATGACTAACCGTCTTTAAATCGGTTGCACAATTTGAGCAGAATTGGACTTCCTTCAAAACGGTGCTATCGCGTGCGCTAATGACCGCATTGTTTTTAGTTCGAATAAAAAAGGGGGAGTAAAAATCGATTCATAATGGACGCATTAAGCCAACAATGTATATATAAGAACTTTGCATGCAACTGAAGAGCAGAAAGGCATGGAGGTTCAGTTTCATAAACACGCACACAGAGCGGCTTCGTCAACGTAAAGCAAAATATGTCTCACAGATTGGTTGTCCCCAATTCCCTAACAGAAACACGAGTAATGCCTGACATTTGGACAAGAACAACTTACCTCCAAGTGTTCCAGTGATGTCCTATGTGATGACTTCTCAGTCACGTGCGGTTCGGAGACGATGGCCTTGAAGACGCTGGAATGCGGACCCCAGTCTTCGGCGACTGCGGGTCCAGCCAGAGGTGTCCAGTGGCGATGTCCGTGCGCAGACAGGTCGGCGGAGTTAAGGGAGAACGTTTTAGTGGCCTTGGGTTGATCTTCGGCGCCACGGAGGGCGAGATTCCGCTGTCCCCAAACTAGCACCTCCCAGATGATCTTGCCCAGAGCGTAGATATCGGCCCGTTTATATGCTTCGAAGTCGAAGGGGTTCATGCTGAGTGTTAGGACCTGGAAAAAAAATGGTCAGTGAATAAATGTCCAGTGACGTAATCCACCTCAACTGCAGCAGGCAGTCGCTTCAACCAATTTGTACTTTGAAGGCAAGCTGCATCTACAGAATGCGAGTCTGGAGTGTTACAAGTCCTCCCTGAAATTTTCACAGTCAAGAAAGCTCATGTTCAAATAAGTTGGTTGGAGATAGTAAAGCGGAGTCCTTCTTTCGGCTGCCGTTTTTAACACAAGTATTAATTGTGTTCACTAATTTTCCCCGTAGTTCTCTGGGGGTGGGGTCAGACTTTCCGAATGCGGCCTCGAAGTTATGGTAGATATTTGTATTCGGCGCGCTGATGTCGGTAGGATTTTCGATTTCATTACTAACGTTTGTGCTTTGCTTGACATTTACTTTAAAATTTGGGCAGGACTGCCTTTAGAGGTCCTTTTTGCATATGACTTATAACAATAACCTACTTTTACATTTTCAGTAACCCGAATTCCCTTTTTTCGTTAAATTCCGCCAATATACGGTTGAATTTCCCTTTTTCGTTAAATTCCGTCAATATAAGATTGAATCTCCCTCAATTGGTATCAGTATCCTGAGCAACAGGAGTTTATGTTGATGGATTTGATTCAATTTAGTACATTAAAACAGATATAAGTTTCTTTAATTTAATATTTTGTGATCGCTTCCGCCACAATTAAATATTCACTTACACTCACTAACCAAGAATTAAATGTTTGACTACAAAATGTAGAAAAAAGATAGTTAAGCGGCCCTACAAGATAGTTCTGCCAAAATTTGGTTCTCAAGTACCCGCATACTCCTCCCTTCATAAAAAGTCGTAGTGCCGCATAGAGCAGGATAAATCTTTACGCTGGTTCGTAGCATGGGTCATATGATCAAGACAGATCGGTAAGCACTCCAGTCCTGGAACCCCAGCATTTTAAACAAAGACTGGCGGGTCAGGGTTCGGAGATCTGTGGTAAAGTATTGAGGCCTCAACCGATCTCCTTATTACTGTTTTCGAATCCCCCTGGAAGTACGACGCAGTTTTTGGACTCGGGAGTGGTCTTATCATCACATCTGTCATCTACCGTTCCTCTGACCTAAGGGAAATAGTCGGGAAATAACCGGAGAATCCGAGTAATTCGGCTCAGCACCTTAGCCCTCGAAAGTAGCCCAAAGGAAAGTATGATTTTTTTTCAGTGTAAGTGGGCGTCTCTCCCAGTGCCGCGGCCGACAGCTAGTACCTTCGGTGGGGCATTTTTAAACAATCCGATAGTCCTTTCTAAGTAAGGAAAGTAAAAGTATTTTGACGATTGACATTGTGCTGTGTTTCGAAATTGCCACTCTCTCCCTCTCTCTCTCTCTCACGCCCTGGCTTGTTGTGAGACATTCATCAACGTCAGTCGGCCTCGCGAATGTACGGGCTTCGCCTCTTCAGATGGCACTTACCATGGGAATCGGGTGTTTAAGATTATATATGTTCTTTAAGGTTACGCTGTGCTCTGGCCACCGGCGTTCCCCAATATTTTCAGGGCAAACATAATTCATGGCCATGACCAGGTGACTTCACTTTCGAGGGAGAAGCTACTTTTCATTCTCTGATGATCCCTCCCTCCCCCCACCCTCACCTTCGCCCTGAAGAACGAATGAGGCAATCCGTGGGCCGCCGAGCGACCCATTATTCTGTCGTGTCATGATGAACATTTTTTGCGGGTTGCAACTAACGAGGGCAGGAGGGAGGGGGTTCTGTTTGAAAGGCATTCTTTTAGGCTTCCAGTAGTCCCCCAAATAGGCTTCATTTGGTTGTACTGTGTAAAGCAGAGTGACGGTGATCTAGAGGAGGGGCACAGACGCGGCAGCTTTCTGCTCGGTGTCCTGAGGTATGAGTTTCAGAGGCATGTTCAGCACTTTAGTGAGAACACCTGGGAGAACGAAGGTGGGGCTTTTTTAAATCAGGCGCCGGCTCACGAGCATGAGGCCGAAGAATGTTACTTCGATTTGAAAGGAGTCCATCCAAAGAGAAGGGCAAACGATATTTATGGTTTATTTGTTATCCCCATGATGCCATGACCAACCTGGGATTTTAACCCGGTCCTGTGGCCTGAAAGTGACGGAAGTCTGAGGCCCTATATCTGGCCAACGGATGAGACTACACATATTTGCAATGCTTTTCAATCTAAACCGATGGCAGGGCGGATGACGTCCGCTCCATTTCACCCTGGAGTGTGGGCTAGGACGGTACAGGCCGCTATATATTGACCAACCGTAAACGATCGAAATAGATTTACTGATGCTGAAACCTCTGGCTAAGAAGCTAAAAATGGTCACCCTGGGCTCCCTTACGTTTGCTGGGTCAGCAG